AATTATTTCAGAAGCTGCAGCTAGTGCAGAAGATGGCAGTGAAGGTACCGAGTGGAGAGCTAAAAGTGCTCAAACAGGATAGCTGCTGTTAGCTACCAAGCAATGTTCAGAGTTTTGTTTCTGGTGTATAAAGCCCTAAACAACTCGGGACCAGAATACTTACTGTATTTTTCGCCCTATAGGACACACTGTTCCCCCTTCAAAAATGAAGGGGAAATGTGTGTGCGTCCTATGGGGCGAATGCAGGCTTTCGCTGAAGCCTGGAGAGCGAGGGGGGTCAGTGCACACCGACTCCTCTCGCTCTCCAGGCTTCAGGAAGCTATCTGCAAGCCGTGGGAGAGCTGCGCGACTTCGCGCAGCTCTCCCACGGCTAGCGGAGAGCTTGCCTGCACCCAGAAGCTTGGGGCGCGCTGAGCTCAGCACGCCCCAGGCTTCCGGCTTTGCGCAGCTCTCTGCTAGCCGTGGGAGAGATGCGCGAAGTTGCGCAGCTCTGCCACGGCTTGCGGATAGCAGCCTGTTCTGGGGGCTGGGGTAAGATATTGCCTTCCCCTCCCTATGCAGACATGTTAGCGTGTTAATATAATCAGAGAAATCCTTGCTAGTGGTACTACATTTTCTAAGCATGTCACTTGGGGTGGGGGAATAAAAAAGGGCCTTCTCTGTAGTGGTACCCACTCTTTGGAGCACTCTGTTACTGGCATTGCTCAATGCTGATTTTATGTATATTTTAATATTCACTTTTAAAACATTTAGTGTTGAATTTTATTTTGTAAGCCGTTTCAGGACCCCTGTATAGGAAGCCGTGTTTAAATAATTTTAATAAAATCTAGGTTTTGTTTCAGAATCCCCTCTCTATCTCTCCCCCCCCTCAGTCTCAGTCACCAAGTCATGCCACCAAGTGAGAGCCAGTGTGGTGTAGTGGTTAAGAGCAGTGGACTCGTAATCTGGTGAACCGGGTTCGATTTGCTGCTCCTCCACATGCAGCTGCTGGGTGACCTTGGGCCAGTCACACTTCTCTGAAGTCTCTCAGCCCCACTCACCTCACAGAGTGTTTGTTGTGAGGGAGGAAGGGAAAGGAGAATGTTAGCCACTTTGAGACTCCTTAGGGTAGTGATAAAGCAGGATATCAAATCCAAACTCCTCCTCTTCTTCTGCATAGCATAGCAAAAACCAAAACAACAACAACAACAAAAACCCAGCAGCTGTTTTTTCAGACTCCACAAGACGTGTTCTGGTTATCTCTTGTCTTGGCTACTGCAAATTTCTGTCCTTCCCTTTATGCACCTTAGTCCTTTCATTTATGTCTAGAACTCTTCTACCCTAATCATTAATCTCGCCACTGAAGCTGGGCAGGGGATGGTGCATCCCATAATAGTACCACTTCAAATTAAGTCATGGATTGAAACTTAATTTGGTCTAATAAAGCAAGTTTTGCTACAGACTAGGCTTCTGTCGGCATAGTTATTGAATTACTGGAAATCCCTATCACGGGTCTATGAAGAAGAGCAGATAAGTAGAGTTGAGTCATAGTGGGTTGCAGCAAAGCAAACTTACTTTATCTGTACCATTCTGCCTTGTAAGCCACCTACAGAGTCAGAGGCATCATGTGACAGACTGGAGAAGCAACTAGCACAATGGCAGCATAGAGTTGTTAATTTTTTTGACTTAGGAAGGGTCTCTGTGCAGAGCAATGAGGCTGAGAATATGTGTCAAACATGGAACATTGCATTTCTATTCTTTACCCAAGTCTAAAATTATAATTACCCATCCCTTTACTTACCCTTTATAAAGAGCAGGTTAGCCAGACAAAATTTGAAGGCTGTGTAAAAAATCTGGTCTTTGATACATGGTAACTTGATGGGGGGATAGTAACACAAAGTTAATTGAACCTGTTGATTAGAATTTGAATCCAGTTTTGCATGAACCCCCATACATGTTATTGCATGTGCAGATTGGGAGTGCTGTTCATCTGTTCTCTTAAACTAAACTTGCAAAGGGGAAATTTCCATCACCCATAGGCCTGCAGCTTGGACCATGAGAACTTGCTGCATCTCCTCAAATGCCTACACAGGCGTCAACAGACCTAACAAAAACTCCTGGCCATCACTTCTGCTGCATTTCATTTCATCACTCTTTTCTCTGCTGCCTTTATCCCTGTTTACTCACCATATACAGTATTACCCATTATTGTTACCCATATTATCACTCCCCATGAATTCAGCAGATGTGAAGTCTTCTGCATTCCTTAGCAGACCCATCCATTTGGGACATTGTGGGAGATTTTCAGTACACCACCTTACCCCCCTCCCACAAACACTTTTAAAAGGGTGTAAGATGTTAATCGTCCAAAGGCCTGACTGAAGAGGGAACATTTTTGTCTGGCACCTAAAGGTGTATAATGAAGGCGCCAGCCAAACCTCCCTGGAGAGAGCATTCCACAAACAGGGAGCCACTGCAGAAAAGGCCTGTTATGATGTTGCCACCCTCTAAACCTCTTGTAGGGGAGGCACACGAAGAAGGGCCTCAGAAGATGAATGCAGGGTCTGGGTTGGTTCATATGGCAAGAAGCCGCCCTTGAGGTATTGTGGTCCTGAGCCATTTAAGGCTTTATAGGTAAAAGCAACAACCCAGGACTTTGAATTGGGCTTGGAAACTAATTGGCAGCCAATGCAGTTGGACCAGGACTAGTGTAATATGCTCAAGCCGTCATGCCCCAGTAAGCAGCCTGGCCACCAAATTCTGCACCTTGGTTGGACAGCTGACCTATGCACATACGTGTCAGGCACACAGTGGTTCTCTGAATTGTCCCAGAATTAGTATTTGATTTCTTCAGGATAATTGGTTAAAAATCAACTTTCAAAACAGGAAATCTCATCTGTCTTACAAACATGACCTTTATTACTAAAGTGTAAAGTATACTTGTTTACAATTGTTGGTTGTGTTGTGAGCTTTTTGCTTTGCAAAACACAGGGGAAACATATTTTCTTGGCAATATGTCATTTGGCTGCATGTTGAGAAGTATAATATGACTAATGCTTTCAGCTTGGATACCATTTGTGTTCTTAAAGTAATCATTCTGGTTTTACTCTTGAAACAAGTGCCAGAAGGCTTTCCAAGGAAACTACAAAATGGGAAATGTGTTTAAATATTTTGCCTCTAATCATTTTAAGTGTGTGCATGGGCTTGCACTGTAATTTTTCATTGTATTTTACAGTAACCTTAAACCAGCATAATTATTTTTACAGTTTAAAAAAAATAAACTGGCACTGGGCAACAACCAGCAGTCTTTCCCGATAATACCCATGTTGAACTCCGCTCCCCATCCATGTATTCAATCTACTATGCATCTGTTGCATTTATTTTGTTTTTTTATTATTGATAAACTTTCTTGGAAGCATCAAGATTTTAACCAAAACCTTCATGTTTCACAAAAGGTCTTCAGGACTGAAGCTGCACCTTTTTTTGCACAGGACTATTTTCACAGTGGGTGGCGCTGTGGTCTAAACCACTGAGCCTAGGGCTTGCCAATTGGAAGGTCGGCAGTTCGAATCCCCACGACGGGGTGAGCTCCCGTTGCTCAGTCCCTGCTCCTGCCAATCTAGCAGTTCGAAAGCACATCAAAGTGCAAGTAGATAAATAGGTACCGCTTCGGCGGGAAGGTAAAAGGCATTTCCATGTGCTGCTCTGGTTTCATCAGAAGCAGCTTAGTCATGCTGGCCACATGACCCAGAAAAACTGTCTGAAGACAAATGTCGGCTCCCTTGGCCAGAAAGCGAGATGAGCGCTGTAACCCCAGAGTCGTCCGTGACTGGACCTAACTAACGGTCAGGGGTCTTTTACCTTCCACACACACACACATGGTCATAGTGTGGCTAGATGCAAGCAAAGTTGTACGAAGCTACCCATTTCTGTTTCAGTTACTCATTTTTCCAGTTTTAAATTCATTTGAGTACATTTCCACGTCAGTTTGTGATTTTTTATTTATTAAAAAAAATAACAGAATTAGTTCCTAATATAACATTTTCTGAGAGCAGTTTCCCCTAATATAACACATTTTATATGCTATTTTCACTAATATATTTGTTGTTTGTTTATTAATTCAATTTCTGTCCCAGCCTTCCTCCCCAAGAGGCCAGAGTAGCAAACAACAAAGCAGTAAAACATGACAACTGCAATTTAAAATAAGTTTGGACACTTAAGCACATCCAAGAATATGTAAGTCATGCTCGAGGCGGCTTGCAGCATGCGTAATTACAAACATTAACAAAAACCATCGTAGGCAATAAATGAAACATCAGAAAGTACACATATTGAACAATTTCCACATAAATCATAATAAGATACAAAATAAAAATACAAAAAATAATAAGTAACATTCACAAACCATCCCACCTCAACAATACCCTAGCCCAAGAGTCTCTTCAGCCTCGGCTTTGGTAGCTGGAGTTAGCCCAGGTGGGGAAAGGCCTGCAAGGCAGAGAGCAAGTCTTCCAGGATTCACAGCCAAGATGGTCCTGCTGTGAGAGCACGCTGGGTCTTCCTTCCTCTGTGTCAAGGGCGGGGAAACCTGTGGCCCTCCAGAGGTTGTTGGACTCTGCTCCCATCAGCTTCAGCCAGGATGACCAGTGGTCAGGAATGATGGAAGCTGAGGTCCAATAAGCATCTGGAAGACCACAAGTTCCCCTCCCCTGACACACAGAGCAAGGTAGTTCTAGAACTGAGGCTGGGTGCTACCCACCAAGAGCACCTTTCTGTTTGCCCTTGCTGCTCTTATTTGATATGTGGATGGCCCTCTCAATGGGGTGCCCGTGACAATTTGCAGATATCTCTAGTAAAGGAAATGAAGAGGTTTCTGTCTGAAGCCTGCGAAGCAAAGTGGTTGGTCATGTGAGTCGGAGCTGCTAAATAGAATTGGATGCCTGGAGGCTATGTCTGCCCCCTCTTTTTAAAATGATGCAAATGAATTGCAAGAAATCTAATAATCCCTTTTAATTTTTCAGGCAACCAGCATAAAGCGTGAAATGACCTTCGCAGCATTTCAGCAGGAGGAGCTAAAAAGTGATCTGAATCAAAAACTGTCAGACCAACATTTTTTTCTGTTGGCGATGAAGGAAGAGGATTCGAAAACAGCAGACACCAAAAAACCTAGCAGAGTCCATGAGCACGAGAAAGAAAGCACCCGCTCCATCTGCCTTCTCGAGCAGAAGCGCAAAGTTGTATCTTCAAATATTGATGTGCCTCCTGCAAGGTAGGGAAGCCTGAAAAGCAGGAAAGGGTGGCAAAATGACTAGCCTTCCAAGTTCAGCAAGTTGGGTTTTTCTGATATAAACTATATAGCGCATCCTACAGGTTGAATATGTGTGTGTGTGTGTTGTGGAGGTTAGTGGTCATTGTTCAATATGGACCACTTGGGTTATAAGATTCACTGGGCAGCCTTGGGCCTGTTGCTACTACTCCAGTCCTGTCACTGTAAAATAGGTATCAATAATAGTAAATTATGGGACGCTGGTGGCGCTGTGGGTAAAAGACTCAGCGCCTAGGGCTTGCCGATCGAAAGGTCGGCGGTTCGAATCCCCACGGCGGGGTGCGCTCCCGTTGCTCGGTCCCAGCGCCTGCCAACCTAGCAGTTCGAAAGCACCCCCAAGTGCAGGTAGATAAATAGGGACCGCTTACTGGCGGGAAGGTAAACGGCGTTTCCGTGTGCTGCGCTGGCTCGCCAGATGCAGCTTTCTCACGCTGGCCGCGTGACGCAGAAGTGTCTCCAGACAGTGCTGGCCCCTGGCCTCTTAAGTGAGATGGGCGCACAACCCCAGAGTCTGGCAAGACTGGCCCGTACGGGCAGGGGTACCTTTACCTTTACTTTAATAGTAAATTGTTTAAAATGAAATATAAACTACGTGAGCAATGCCAGCAAGGAATATACTAAAGCAGAGATCCTTCCACACATATGACAGGTGAGACAATTTCATAGCCGTGCTGGTGTAAGTTCTGATCCAAAACATCAGGAGGGCCCCAGGTTAGGTAAGGCTGTCCTAAACTATACTCAGAGGCCTGATTCAGCTATAATAATTTCAGTCTGGTTTAGTCTGATAAACCATGATTTCATTAAACGAAGAATGAGCATTGTGCCTTTGCTTCCGTCTTCCCTTCTTTGTCATGCTGCAGTGGAATAGAATAGAAACTGAATTTGAAGGATGGGTATAAAACCAAGAGGCAGAGCAATCAAGCCCCAACCCCTGTGGGCAGTGTTAGAAAGCTAGGAGCTAAATGGCACCTTAAACCTAGGTTATGGGCACAACAACGGAATGGCTAGGTGTGCTTTTTTAACAACAAGAATACAAAGCTGAAAATGAATGAACTGCAGCTAAAGTATTATGTTCATTTTTCACATGGTCTAGTCCTTCCCCTGCCCACCCTCCCTAATATTCTTAAGAGGGATCTTCTCCAGTATTCAAAGAGTAGTTGGAAGTGGGGAGGCAGAAAAAAGGTCCTCCGTTCCTTCCGCTCTGCAGTTTTAATCTGAAATCTTAGGTGCAGTACTGCTCCCAGAGCTCAGCAACTGCTTGCACTAATGAAATTCCCTGCCACAAATACACCTAGAACAATTAGAGTTCCGAACACTGCCTGGGGGAGGGGTTGGATGGAGCCAGTCACCCCTGACTTGCCCCTTGGCCACAGATCAGCCATGTGGGCAGGAAGCCTGCTACTGGTATACCTGACAGTGGAAAACTGCAAAATGGGAGGCATTCTGGGGAGGGGGGCAGAGCGGGGCTGAACAGTCTGAGATTCAATGGGTAGTGAGCCTAACTCAAGCTGTTGCTGGCCAGTGTCAGACTCGATCCATACAGGATTACTGCAACAGCCTGGAGGATCAGCCCCAATCATTCTCCTGTTCCTTCCACCATAGCCACCATAAGTGGCTGGGCTGTGGACTCAGCAGTGGCTCTGCAAAGTCCCTGCAGTGGCAGGTGGGGTTTGGATTTCAGATTTCATTCTAGTGCGGTACATAGGAAATCAGTGCTGGCAGCCTTCTTGGAGTCATTACAAAATACCTAGATTCTGGAACACCTTAAATACTCTTGATTCCCCGAATGACACTGCCCCCCCACCCCTTGCTGACTGCTGCAAGTTTCATTCAGGAGACTTCCCTTTCCCTCACTTATCCTCAATGGCAGGACTGTGTGTTTTCTCCCATTTCCCTCCTTCCTTCTCCTTCTCTCCCTCAGTGCTTGCCTTGGGGCATTAACAAAAGACTCATAAAGTGTATTTACCAAAAGTGTGCTTGCATTATTATGGAAACCATTCTGTGTAATACAAACCTTCCCCAGAGTTTGAGGTAGTTGGCACCCATGATTTTGTTCTGGTCACTTACTGGACTTCCTGTGGAAATTTGTCAGACGTTATGGCACTGGGTTGTATCTTTGATTCTGCCTCCATCCACTCTCAGTTTATTAGACCTCTTGGGAAAGCTTTAGAATTTGATACCCTGAACCCCTTCACTAATTGCTTGGTGCTGCAGCCATTAGGGAGCTTATAATGAAATAGCAAAATGAAATAAGGAAGAAAGGGAGCTGAAGGCATAAGGAGGGAGGTAATACTCTTTTTTTATATTTATATATGTGGTGCTGTTGAATGGGCATCGTAAGAACAGGGGTAGTAATGTCTATTTCTTCAGGGCAAGTCCATACAGTAACTACAATGATGCTGAATAAAAATGGGATATTAACTAAAGAGCCCCAACTGCAATTTTGTGGGAAATTACAGAAAGCAAAGGACATACACTAAATGGTTGTTGTTTATTGAAAGGGGATAGATTTGTTTGTTTGTTTGTTTTTAAAATGGTCAAGACCATAATCTAGCTGTGTAGTATGATCTGCCATATCAGGGTTCAGTTGTGGCAACTTTTAATGCCATCAAATCCAAACTGCTGCTGCTGCTGCTGCTGCTCCTCCTCCTCCTCCTCCTCCTCCTCCTCCTCCTCCTCTTCTTCTTCTTCTTCTTCTTCTTCTTCTTCTTCTTCTTCTTCTTCTTCTTCTAGTTACCCCTCTGGTCCCTTGACAATAGAAGGGAACCTTGAGAGCAGCAAATCATGAGCTAGGCAATCACACCTGCAGTCACTGTTGTCTAATACAATGACAGGGAGCATCAAAGCTGAAGTGCCCCAGGTGCTCGTTTTCAGGCTAGTATGCCATGGCTTATTAAATTTGAATCAAGCTGTACCCTAAACCTCATCAAAGATTGCAGCAGATGGAATAACCAGCCAACATCATGGCTCACATTCTCCTTGCTAACATTGCCCAGTAATATTCTTGGTAGCTTAGCATGATAAAAGTCTTTTCAGACATGAGTCCTAAGTTTAACTCCAATGTGGTATTTACTATTAGTGTATTTTTTATACTTTTAGTGAATTTATATTTTTGCTCTCTTTTTCTGCTGCTTCTACAGCCTAACACAAGACTTTTGCATGCTGGCTCCTGCTACACAAATGCCCTCTGGCATCCCTTTCATTTTTCAGTGCCCCCCCCCCGACTTTTTTGCACCCCAGTTCCATTGACAAAGCACACAAAAGGGGGAATAGAATTTTTATCAAAATGGTGGTAGCCACAGCATGCCTTAATTGAGCTTGTGTGAGCCACCAGTTGAAGCTCAGTGGTCTTGTACAAAGGCACAAACACAGTGGTGTTTTAAATGTGTATCTCTCAGGTTCATATCACTCCAGGACTTTGGGTATTTGCTTCTTAAAATGTAGGTGAAATATTTGTGGGTGAATAAAAATAAGACCGTTTTCTCATCTACAAATATATGAATATAACAGAACTTGACAGAAAATTCTGCAATATAAAAATAATATCCATCAAGTGGGGTTGTTGTTTTTTTAAAAAAAACAGATTTTAAAAATTCCTACATGTTTTAGGAATATCTTAGGATAGCCATGACTAACTCAAGTCTACAGGGTATGTCTTAGTTGGAAACAATCCATTGTCTTCATTCTGGTGTTAGCTTAGGAGTATATTAACATGCACAATTAATAAAAATTAATTAAAACAGCTTGAGTATATTAACATGCACAATTAATAAAAATAACTATTATTTACATTCTTTGTTTAATTCTAGTGACACAGCAGTGCTTAATTGTGTGCTTAACCTTATTAATTCCATTGGCCCTAAATTTATCTAGATTGTGCCTATAACCTCAGAGTTTATGTGGAACCAACACAACCAAGTCACCATCAAATACAGCATAAAAGCATGTTTGCATCATAGCCACTAGGTGTCACTAGAGAGTGCTTGCAGCCTTGATATAGGAAAATGGATGAGAATTGTCCCACGCGATTAAAAAAACAAACCCAAATATTGTTTAATATAATTGTATTATTTACGAGGTTGAATTTGCAGTCTCTTGAGTTTCAAAATTCTTTACAAAGATAATGAATAAGAATAAGAGTGCTGCATAGAATAGGATGGTGATCCTGTCAAACATCATCATAGCAAAACAAACTCTCTTAATTTTTATTTAGTTTTACTAAATGATATTAAAAATGCACCAGCACTTCTGGACAATAGTTAAGGTTAATGCTGCTATTTCTTTGGCACTTTTGAATTACTTCAAAGTGGGGATCACTTTGTTGAAGGTCAAAATACTCAACTTGGTGAAAATCAAATGTATTAGTTGTCAAAAAATGCATTTGCCTCAATTCCTTGCATGGCTCAGAGCATGGGTAGGCAAACTAAGGCCCGGGCGCCGGATCCGGCCCAATCGCCTTCTAAATCCAGCCCATAGACAGTCCGGGAATCAGCATGTTTTTACATGAGTAGAATGTGTCCTTTTATTTAAAATGCATCTCTGGGTTATTTCCCCCCCAAAAAAATATAGTCCGCCCCTCCCCCCCAAGGTCTGAGGGACAGTGGACCAGCCCCCTGCTGAAAAAGTTTGCTGATCCCTGGCTCAGAGCAACACAAATCCCCATATAAGAGAGGAGTCGGTTAATTTAAATAAATGAATTGTTCTTGACAAATTGTCTCAGAATGAAATTCTTCTTATTCTTGTATTCCTCAGTGATGATGCTGTTGGCCGTCCTTTCTCTTTGATCTGAAGCCCAAAGGGACTGGCCCATTAAGTTTCAATTAGGAACAGGCATATCACCAACTCTCTTTAATTTATTTATCTGTGTGTTTATAATCTGCATATTAATTAAGAAACATGTAGCAAGGTGATTGCAGCATATAAAATTAAAGTGAACAAAGGTA